TCTGGTATTTGTGCTGTTATATATATAGTATTAAGTAAACTATCCAGACTTTTACTATCTCTCATTAAGGCTGTATGCTACATTATCTTACCTGTTGTATCTATGACTAGTATTAGAGTTATCTCCCCTAATTATTGTTGAATTAGCATTATCTGGTGATTCTAAGATAATGCTGATTCTAAATTTCCTGATGAATGATCGTTAAATTTTCTCCAGGTTACCTCTTAAGGGATATTTTACAAGTGTCTAACTGTGGAACTCTAATGGGTAGGATGTATATAATATAGGAAGGTGACATATATCCTTAGGTAGATTTTTACACAATGGAAAAATGAAGCTTTCTAGATAGTTACCGGTCAGTAATCAATGAGTAGTGGGGCAGTGAAGCTAACTAGATGGTGATCATGATCGGTCATGGACAGTAATTAATGAGTAGTGGGGAAATGAAGCTAACTAAATGGTGATCATGATCGGTCATGGACAGTAATTAATGAGTAGTGGGGAAATATATGAAGCTAACTAGATGGTGATCATGACCGGTCAGTAATCAATGAGAAGAGGGGCAGTGAAGCTAACTAGATGGTGATCATGACCTGTCAGTAATCAATGAGTAGTGGTGAAATGAAGCCAACTAGATGGTGATCATGACCGTTCAGTAATCAATGAGAAGTGGGGCAATGAAGCTAACTAGCTGGTGATCATGACCGGTCAGTAATCAATGAGAAGAGGGGCAGTGAAGCTAACTAGATGGTGATCATGACCGGTCGGTAATCAATGAGAAGTGGGGCAGTGAAGCTAACTAGATGGTGAGCATGACCGGTCAGTAATCAATGAGAAGTGGGGCTGTGAAGCTAACTAGATGGTGATCATGACCGGTCAGAAATCAATGAGAAGTGGGGCAATGAAGCTAACTAGATGGTTATCATGACCGGTCAGTAATCAATGAGTAGTGGGGCAGTGAAGCTAACTAGATGGCGATCATGACTGGTCAGTAATCAATGAGTAGTGGGGCAGTGAAGCTAACTAGATGGTGATCATGACTAGTCAGTAATCAATGAGTAGTGGACTTGCGTCGGTGACCGGTCATGATCAATAATTATCAATGAGTAGCGAGGTACATGAAGCTAACTAGATGGTGATCATGACCGGTCAGAAATCAATGAGAAGTGGGGCAATGAAGCTAACTAGCTGGTGATCATGACCGGTCAGTAATCAATGAGTCGTGGGGCAATGAAGCTAACTAGATGGTGATCATGACCGGTCGGTAATCAATGAGAAGTGGGGCAGTGAAGCTAACTAGATGGTGAGCATGACCGGTCAGTAATCAATGAGAAGTGGGGCAATGAAGCTAACTAGATGGTTATCATGACCGGTCAGTAATCAATGAGTAGTGGGGCAATGAAGCTAACTAGATGGGGATCATGACTGGTCAGTAATCAATGAGTAGTGGTGAAATGAAGCCAACTAGATGGTGATCATGACCGTTCAGTAATCAATGAGAAGTGGGGCAATGAAGCTAAATAGATGGTCATCATGACCGGTCAGTAATCAATGAGAAGTGGGGCTGTGAAGCTAACTAGATGGTGATCATGACCGGTCGGTAATCAATGAGAAGTGGGGCAGTGAAGCTAACTAGACGGTGATCATGACCGGTCAGTAATCAATGAGAAGGGGGGCAGTGAAGCTAACTAGATGGTGATCATGACCTGTCAGTAATCAATGAGTAGTGGTGAAATGAAGCCAACTAGATGGTGATCATGACCGTTCAGTAATCAATGAGAAGTGGGGCAATGAAGCTAACTAGATGGTTATCATGACCGGTCAGTAATCAATGAGTAGTGGGGCAGTGAAGCTAACTAGATGGCGATCATGACTGGTCAGTAATCAATGAGTAGTGGGGCAGTGAAGCTAACTAGATGGGGATCATAACCGGTCAGTAATCAATGAGAAGTGGGGCAGTGAAGCTAACTAGATGGTGATCATGACCGTTCAGTAATCAATGAGAAGTGGGGCAGTGAAGCTAACTAGACGGTGATCATGACCGGTCAGTAATCAATGAGAAGTGGTGAAATGAAGCTAACTAGATGGTGATCATGTCCGGTCAGTAATCAATGAGAAGTGGGGCAGTGAAGCTAACTAGATGGTGAGCATGACCGGTCAGTAATCAATGAGAAGTGGGGCAATGAAGCTAACTAGATGGTTATCATGACCGGTCAGTAATCAATGAGTAGTGGGGCAGTGAAGCTAACTAGATGGGGATCATGACCGGTCAGTAATCAATGAGTAGTGGGGCAGTGAAGCTACCTAGATGGTGATCATGACTGGTCAGTAATCAATGGGTAGTGGTGAAATGAAGCTAACTAGATGGTGATCATGACCGGTCGGTAATCAATGAGAAGTGGGGCAGTGAAGCTAACTAGACGGTGATCATGACCGGTCAGTAATCAATGAGAAGGGGGGCAGTGAAGCTAACTAGATGGTGATCATGACCGGTCAGTAATCCATGAGTAGTGGTGAAATGAAGCTAACTAGATGGTGATCATGTCCGGTCAGTAATCAATGAGAAGTGGGGCAGTGAAGCTAACTAGACGGTGATCATGACCGGTCAGTAATCAATGAGAAGGGGGGCAATGAAGCTAACTAGATGGTGATCATGACTGGTCAGTAATCAATGAGTAGTGGACTTGCGTCGGTGACCGGTCATGATCAATAATTATCAATGAGTAGCGAGGTACATGCTGTATGTATACAGTTTGTAGGGTCATAGTAACAGATAGGTGTATGGGAGTGTGTTGGCCCGAACTTAAATCACTAAAATCTTACATATCACTTCAGACCAGGCAGACAGACACACAATGGGAGATCTAGTGGGGACATTCTCTGTCTTGTTTGTACAAAACTTCAGGATGTATCACACTTGTATTTCTGACTGTGCGCTGAGCAGGTGTGAAAGATAGTGTATGCACATATAGGTATATACGTTTATATACAGTCGGCGCCAGAAAAGATAGTGTATACACATACAGGTATATACATTTATATACAGTCGGCGCCAGAAAAGACACACCTACATCTATATACTTTACACTTGTGGCTAGAAAAGATATACATTTTACTACACACTTGCATGTAACCAGAAATGACACACCCCTACTTTTACTAAACGTCCATAGCCAGAAAAGCCTTACCTTACACCTTACATCAGTACATATCTGGGTATATATGCATGTGCTCAATACCCTAGCTACCAGAATAGATCCCCCCCCCCCCCCCCCCCCCCCTATATACTGTATACCAGGACATTTTTGTCACAGTTTCACATTCACATTTTTTGCCCTCTGTAAAACATTATAACAGTAAATGTGAAGGGCGAAATAAAATTGATGAATATGTTTCCCGGTTTAAAGTATAGTACACTTTACAATGGTAGCCAGAAAAGTAATGCTGATAATATGTATTTTACATTTGATAACTAATTATGTCCTTTCATGATATATAGCGATTTGCATATCCAATTATTTACTACAGACACACAGATAACTTAACTAAATTCGAGACAACCTTTGCAAAACACCACAATACTATAATATACAACTTATTTGGCGTGAAAATCACCCCTGTACAATCAAGTCTCATTAGTTCAGCTGTGGCCACCTCCAGTTGCTGCCATTCGTAAGTGGAAGCAGATTATCATATCAGAAAACAGGCATCAGTTCCAAACAATTAAACCAGACTCAATTGTACAAAAATAAAATTCAGATGCTGCATATACTAGGTAATACATGTACATGTAGAGTGTATTTGGGAAATAACATATTACTTGGACTCTATCAAAATTACTGTAGAAACTAAATGGTGTATTTAGAATAGAATTCTTACATGTACTGTATTTGTGAAGTCATGTACCTATCTAGATTATAGATTTTGGAGAATATAAATTAAAGTCACTGTATCTGAGTAAAATTATGCTGATTAATAACCACTTTAATGCTGTTGTATATATGTGTAGGGGAACGTCCTGTAGGCGTTAAGTCAGGGAAATAGTGTAATAAAAGAAATTTGTCCCTTCACCCACCACAGCGTGCATGCATGTCATACCACAAAACTAGTGTGACATATTATAAGTGAAACAGTGTACTGGTTCACTTCACCAGCACCTACCTTTCAAGGTGAAATTTTAACAACACAGCTCTTATGTTTCACTTGTATTCATACAATGTCATCTCACCTGTGGGCAAGTTGTTACGTAATGCAAACATTCGTTATGAAGTATTCTGGTACACTTTCTGTGTGTTATTTGTACAAATAACCTCGGTCCTGTATTACAGTTGTATATTCAGCCTAATGACTTGTAAAAATTGATATTTCAAAGTAGTTTTTATTTGGAAAAGTTACGCCCTCTCCACATGGTAGTCTGGATGGCGAGATTTTGAACAACAGGGTTTGGCTGTTCAAAGGACTGTTACCTTAACAAGATACTGAATAAAATGTTTTATCTTCAGTATTTTTTTAAAAGTTATTAAAGAATCATAACTTAAACTATATATGTCAAGATTTTAAATCATAGACAAAAACGTGAAAACTTTGATGCAATTTTGGATGGATACAAAACATCATACATATTGAACATTTGAGTTAATAGCCTGTTATATAATTTTTGACAGCACTTCAATCATTTCTGTGCCCTTGGTTTTGTTTTTCAGAATGTTGTTTCCATTTCCATATTCTGCAACACTAAAAAGTTTTTATAATACATCTTTAATGAACCCCATTGGAGCTAAAAAAAAATATGTTAACTATACAATAAGGTACATACTTGCTTAGTGCTTACTCTCCCTATTTTGGAGGGAGACTACCAATTTTGGACTCAAAATGGAGCATTTTTAACCAGTTAATTGATGATACGGTTGATCTAGCTGTTATAGGTTGAATTGTTGTACTTATATTTAGATATCCAGGGATTTAATTGATCTGACTAACAACTTTTCTTCCATTTCCAGAAAAAGGCTGATGGCAAGGAGCTGTTTGAGCAGGTGTTTTATCATCTTGACATCGTAGAGAAGGATTACTTCGGGCTGCAGTACACCGACCACCACAATGTCAATGTAAGTTATATATACCTACGGACTTGGACTAAGGTTTGTCATATAATGCAGTTACATGTCTGTAGCTATAGTATCTATACTACTGGCCAAGTCTGAGGTGAATCTTCTGTAATATAAGTACCAGCTCTAGCTTGCTATTGGCCTAGTAGGCAGAGGTCAATCTATTGAAGGTCGATCTATAGTTATTGGTCAAGGACAATCTGTTGTAAATTCTACCTAGCTACTGGCCAAGGTCAATCTATTGCTATTACAATATACTGGTCAATGTGAAGGTTAGACTTCTGTTGGTATCACCTGGTTAAGGTCAGAGTCTTCTTCTGCTAGCTACCATCTACTGGTTAAGGTCAAGGTCGGGCTTCAGTTGGTACCACCAGGTCAAGGTCAAGTTTTTTACCGATAGCTACCACATGGTAAATTATGCTATAAGTAACACCTACTGGCCAAGTTCGAGGTGAATATATACTCTAAGTCATATGTATTGGACAAGGTCAATTTCACCATTGATCAATGTCAATATCAGTCTACTGCCATTTCCATTAAAAGGTCAAAGTCAGTCTGTGGTAATTACTGCTATCTGTGCAGGAAATCAGCTGTTTGTGATATAAACTGATTATCAGAAAATGGGTGAATGATGTTGTAATGTTACAGAATTAAACTGAGATACAATACAGACACCTCTTAGTCATAACATAGACCTATAAATATACACTGATTAATGGTGGCATGGATAAGATAGCAGGGGGCTGGCGGTGTGATACCAGACACAATGAGGTCGTTATTTCACCTAATTATAAACTGTTAGTGAATAGTAAAGAGTCTTGTGTCAATAATAAATAAATAGTGTTGGTATATACTTTTAAGGAAACTTGCACCAAAGTTTCTAATTAATTAAATATTAACTAAAATTAAGGAAGCTTACACCAAAATTGCAAGACATCTGTTTTTGAAGTTAAAAGCTTGCATCAAATTAAATATCTCAAAATATCTTGAGAAAACTTGCAACTAAGTTTTTAAACAACTGGTATACTTTTTGTACAAAAGTGTTGAGGATTAGATTGAGGACACAGAAATCACAAGATATTTACTTTGATAAAAACACATTGCACCAAACTCAATATTACATATGTACAAATATATTGTGTGTTAATTTAAACTGAATTATGGAGAACCAATCTCAGCAGTGTTACTGTTGTATGAGATTCAGGAGAAAGCCAGATAAATATTCTTATGGAATTCAGTTGTGCTGTCAGAAGTGGTTAACACTGTAGTAGTAGGTAGAGGTAGACAATAACAGGAGGTTTTGGATCTCTTCAGCAAATCTAGGATGGTCAACAGTCATATTATCTAGTTTCTGACAAAGGCTTCAATAATTTACAGAAGAGATCCTGAAAATGTTGTCCTCATCTATATCAAGTAAAAAATTATCTGACATCTGTGCATACATTTCTGTTTAAAGAAACTTACTCCAAAATTTTAAAACATTAAAATTGTTAAGGATCCTAGTAGCAAGTTATAACAAAATATTACGGGTATCAGAATACCTTCAGATTTAGGGAAACAACATGTACTTAAAATTTCAAGGGAAGTCTGTCTTTTGAAGTTTATCTTTCTCTGGCTGATATATTATAGAAACATTAGACATGTTATATATCGTTGGGCCCATGCTTAATATATTGACCAGTTTCTATTATTTCTTAATTTATTTTTTTAGCACTGGCTAGACCCAACAAAAAGGATCAAGAAACAAGTCAAAAGTAAGTAGTCAAATAAGGGATCAAATATATAAATAATTTTAGGAAAGTCAACTAAATAAGTGTTTCGAAAACCAATGATTTTAAAAGGCAATAAACCCATTTCAATGCTTTATATCTTTCCCCTGATGTCATGAGTGATGTGATTAGTAGAACACTAGACCAATCTGAATCAGGCTTTGTTTACTGGTTCAAAATGATGTTCATTGATGAGCCAATGTATCTATGTAATTGATGTACGTTCAGTTTTACTCTGTATACAATTGTAGGTTTGATTACCAGGTCCTAGCACTCGTCCCTGCCTTAATTATCCATTTAATCAGATATAAATCAAAGCACTCGTCCCTGCCTTAATTATCCATTTGATCAGATATAAATTAAAGCACTCGACCCTGCTTTATCCATTTGATCAGATATAAATTAAAGCACTTTGCTTTTACTTCACTGTTTGGCATGGAAAGAGGATTGTTTTCTTTTTGTTTTACTTAATTGTTTATAATTATGATTGACTCATTTACCCCTGAAATCTCATAATGAACTATACCAACCTTTGAATTGGGAGAGTTCAAATGTGTCTTCAAGGGTGAATGAGTTAAAGAATGCATGGTAGTCTATATATGTTGGAATGTGTTTATGATGATAATATATGTTCCTATTTGCAGTTGGACCACACTATACATTCCGATTCCGTGTCAAATTTTACCCTTCGGATCCTAATAACTTACACGAAGAGCTTACTAGGTATGTTCAAATGTAGCTGTACAGTTATTCTGGAGCATGTGTGTTTATGAGATAGCACTATCGTTACATAGAGTTGAGAATATTTTTATCTTATAATGTGGCATCTCGTGGGTCGAATAGCCTATATCAGTATTTTAATTCATTGTTTAGATTTGACCACATTTGTTAGAAAATTTGAAAGAGACAATTGTTTAATGCTTGTATGTCGATGATCAGAAAATTCCGATCTCGGCAAATCCTAATGATTTACTCCGATCTATGACCTTTGGAGTGATACCGGAAGTTATTCATTTTATAGAGGTATATGTGTATTAATTAAATTTATCTGTTCGTTCTGTGATAAAATTCTAGATAGTCCAACTAGTCATTTTATTTGGAGGAAATTAGCTTTCTAGCATTATGCTATGTTGAAAAGTCTGATTTCAGTGTTTTTGATTGATTTTGTTTGTTAATATATGACTTCACTCTACGACTCATTTCAGATATCAGTTTTTCCTGCAGTTAAAAAGTGATCTGCTGTCCGGGAGACTTGAAGCCAACTTTGACACCAGTATTGAGCTATCCGGATTCGCACTTCAATGTAAGCAAATCAGTGACTATCGGATTTCAAAATCAATGTTAGGGCAGGTTAAAAGATATCAATGTTCCATCCGCCACTGTTGAGGTATAAGCTAATTTAAGGGAAAATGCAAATGAAATGAGGAGCATTATATTACATCACAGTTTTAGTACATATTTAACCTATCCAAGATGTTTGCAATTATAATTTTCAATATATCCCTGAGGTACACATAAGTGATACAAAGTTAAGTTAATGTTGGTTTGTGTTGTCAGCTGAACTTGGTGACTATGATGTGGAGGCGCATACACCTGGTGTTATATCAGAGTTCCACTTCGTCCCCAACCAGACTGAGGAAATGGAACTGGAAATGGTGGAACAATTCAAAACATGCCGGTTTGTAACAAGAGATCTCGCTAGTCTAGAGTGACGTCTTTTACTGATTACTCCAAACAGTCAAATTGTGTTAATTCAACCACCACCAATCTGGTTGTTCCTCTGTCTCACAAGTGTTTTCAAGAACATTTCTCATAAAATTTTCATATTATAGACAGAATCGCATTCCAGCCATTTCAAAATTCATCACTTTTTTTGTTATGGCTTAACGTTTGAAAAAAAAAAAAAAAAAAAAAAAAAATTGAAAACTTGTTGAACAAACCAGCAGGGGAAAATTCTTAAACTCCAAAGCTTCATGGTAAATGTCTTCACATTATAAACGAATGGGTTCCATGTAGGTTTAAGATGTGTAAACTGTGAAATTAAATTGGCTTTGTGATGACTTGTAGATACTTGCTTGCCTTTCAAAAAATGTATAACCCAAGGCTGTAGGTGATATAAAAATCATTTGAATAAACATAAGAATATTGTAATGAAAACTTTTGAACTGAGCATACAAGATGTTCTTTTGAAACATCGCAAAACGACAGTACAATGAACTTATATTTAATAATGGCAACATTTTTTAAGACACCTTTTTATACACAGATTGAAATTTTTGATGGGATGAATTGATGATATTAAGTTTCGTCCTGTGCTCTGATTGGTTGAAAGTTTCCACTTGGCATTGGATAGACCTATATTTTCCCTCCCCCATGGTATTCTTGTTTAAAACTGTCAGTTGTGTTGTGTACTAAGATGAATTTATTTTGTTTTCTCCAGGGGACAAACTCCAGCCATGGCAGAGCTGAACTACCTGAACAAAGCCAAATACCTGGAAATGTACGGGGTGGACATGCATTTTGTAATGGTAGGTTCCAAGGCTTACGAGTTTAGATATAAACAGGTTACTAGGACCATTTTGTAATGGTAGGTTCCTAGGCTTACGAGTTTAAATATAAACAGGTTACTAGGACCATTTTGTAATGGTAGGTTCCTAGGCTTACAAGTTTGGATGTAAACAGGTTACTAGGACCATTTTGGAATGGTAGGTTCCAAGCCTTACGAGTTTAAATATAAACAGGTTACTAGGACCATTTTGTAATGGTAGGTTCCTAGGCTTACAAGTTTGGATGTAAACAGGTTACTAGGACTATTTTGTAATGGTAGGTTCCAAGGCTTACGAGTTTGGATATAAACAGGTTACTAGGACCATTTTGTAATGGTAGGTTCCTAGGCTTACAAGTTTGGATATAAACAGGTTACTAGGACCATTTTGTAATGGTAGGTTCCTAGGCTTACAAGTTTGGATGTAAACAGGTTACTAGGACCATTTTGTAATGGTAGGTTCCTAGGCTTACAAGATTGGATGTAAACAGGTTACTAGGACCATTTTGTGATGGTAGGTTCCAAGGCTTACGAGTTTAAATATAAACAGGTTACTAGGACCATTTTGTAATGGTAGGTTCCTAGGCTTACAAGATTGGATGTAAACAGGTTACTAGGACCATTTTGTAATGGTAGGTTCCTAGGCTTACAAGTTTGGATGTAAACAGGTTACTAGGACCATTTTGTGATGGTAGGTTCCAAGGCTTACGAGTTTAAATATAAACAGGTTACTAGGACCATTTTGTAATGGTAGGTTCCTAGGCTTACAAGTTTGGATATAAACAGGTTACTAGGACCATTTTGTAATGGTAGGTTCCTAGGCTTACAAGTTTGGATGTAAACAGGTTACTAGGACCATTTTGTAATGGTAGGTTCCAAGGCTTACGAGTTTAAATATAAACAGGTTACTAGGACCATTTTGGCATAGTCATTCTAGAATTTCAACCAGCAGAATCTGAAAGAAAAGGGCAGACTTAGATCTGTATGGAGTCACCTCAGGAAAATTAGGGATGTGCATTTTAAAGGGGACCAGATCTAGATGTGCCTGACTGAAAGTAAAATGCTGACTATTGCTAGTTTGCATTATTTCTAAATGCACAAGGTTTATCCACAGGTATATTTCAGGACTTGTTATAAAACTTACACATGAACAAAAAATTGTCACAAAATTCTGGACCTGTGCAGTTTTAGATCTGCTTATAAGTTATCACCGAATATTTCAGCACCACATTAATGGTTTCATCCAGGTTACATTGGGTAAAGATGTGGTTGTGCGCAGCTTTTACCCTAGTGATCAGTTGAACATTTCAACCGGGTTACATTGGGTAAAGATGTGGTTGTGCGCAGCTTTTATCCTAATGATCAGTTGAACATTTCAACCGGGTTACATTGGGTAAAGATGTGGTTGTGCGCAGCTTTTACCCTAGTGATCAGTTAAACATTTCCAGGATTGGAATTAGCTGTAAGTCTACTGATATACATTTTCAGGGCCGTGACGGGTCAGAGTATAAGCTGGGACTCACACCAACAGGTATTTTGGTTTACGAGGGCACGGCCAAGATTGGACTCTTCTTCTGGTAAGTACAGTCAAATGAAGTATATTAAGTTCTGATTATTAAATTAATCTTTTCAGAAACACATCTCCCAATTTATCCCCAGGTAACTGAAATATGTTTTTAACTTTTTCAGGCCTAAAATGACGAAATTGGACTTCCGCGGTAAACTACTGACTCTGGTGGTAGTCGAGGATGACAATGAGGTGAGGACTAAAACAAATCTATCACTCCTGTGCAGTTTAGATATAAAAAAAATAACCTGAAATGATCATTACAATTAATTAAACATTTCTGTGACTTATAAGATATATATCTATGGCTGTCTCTGTTCACTTAAAGTTTTACAAAGTATTTAAGGATATGATTGAGTTTATAGTTATGAATGAACACAAAATACTATAGGAAATGCAGAGTACAATAAATCTAGTTCATAATGATTTTTCAATTTCCATATTTTTGAAATCTTTCACATTTGTGTTTTCTAGGGTAGAGAACAAGAACACACTTTCGTGTTCCGACTTGAAACTGAAAAGGCATGTAAGCATTTATGGAAGTGTGCGCTGGAGCACCACGCATTCTTCCGTCTAAAGGGGCCCGTAAAAGGACCAGGCACGCGACAGAACTTCTTCAGGATGGGGTCTAGATTCCGTTACAGGTATATATTTATGCTCCCGCCGTTTGATTGGGGGTAAATAGTGACAAATTGTGCTGTCCTCAATTACATGTCAGCACTGAAGTAACTTCCTTCTGTTAACAGATATTGATCAAAATAAAATTACGAAAAAAAAAATCTTCCATTCAAGTGTATATTTTTGGAGAAAAGGAATTGATGAATTAGTTTTGTAGTAGAAGATCCCTGACCTTGTAGAAAAAATGTTTTCTGGATTGAAATATCTTGCCTAAATATTAAATAAAAAAATTGATTTAAATATTACATTTATGATTTCGTAGTGGGAGGACAGAATATCAAACGTCTTCTGTGAGTCGAGCGAGACGCAGTGTACGATTTGAACGGAAAGGAAGTCAGCGATACTCAAGGCGACCAACTTTCGAGAAGAAGGAGAGAGAGGCGGCCATGAAACGAGAACAGGAGAAGAGAGATGCCAAGAAACGGGAGTCTGCCGAGCGACAGTATGTATACCATTGATACAGTCCGCAGAGGTTTCGTTTTGAAGTCTGAGAATTATAAATCCGCGTGCAAAAGACAGGACTACTGCATATTGACTGTACTTATTTTGGATGTTGCATGAAATTTAGATCCCACAAAGTTGTTCCTAGAACAATGGCATAAAAATTTGATCACATGAAATTGACTTACAATACTCTCGTATCTGTGCTATTCCAGTAAAACATCTATCCCAATGTTTATATGTGACGTTTTGTACTTACTAACCTGAAGAAAATGTTTAGAAAGATCCCAATTATTGTCTGGAGGTTTTCAAACAAAGGGAGGATAAAGAAATTTTTCCAGGTTCTAAACAACGTTACTTTGTCTTTTAGTCAAAAAGCTGTCGTAGAACCCACGAAACCAGCAGCCCCAGTGGCTGCAGCATCATCTAAAATAAAAACTCCACCAAGAAGCCCCACCCCAAAATCTCCAGTGACCAATGGCACTACAGGAGCCTGGGGAAAGCATCGAAAATCTGGATCAGAAAAAGATGTACCAGATGCTCCATCTCGGTCCAAGTCACCCATTGCTGGGGCATCTGGACATGAAAAGGACATTAATTTGAAAGGTTTGGACAAGAAATATTATGGCTATAAATAGTCATTAATTTTGCATTAGCCAGTTTATTGCAATCTGAAGAATAAATAGTTATTAACTGAAATGTTGTGTTCTTGAGGGGATTTGTATTGTTTAGATTGCTTTGTTTTATTTAATGGCTAGTGGGTCTCTGAAATATTGCCTCCAACCACTCTCATGCAGTTAGTTTTGGAACAGTCCTCAGTTTTAATGTAGGTTACAACTGAAATGAAAGATAAAGAATAGAATGTATCTAGCAATGTCGTGCAATAAAAAAACTTAAATGAAATTTTTGTGTATTGTACTGAATTGACTCCTATTTTCAGAAGCATCTGAGGCCGCCCAAGCTAGAATCAAAGGTCTTGATGAGACACGACCTTTACGACCTCCAGTGCTAAAGGTCAAACCAGATGTCAACAATTTCCAGAATAACCAGGTGAAATTTCCTAGCGGTCCTGCTGTCATCCCTCCCGATCAGATGAAGTGCAATATTCTCAAGGCCAAGATGGAGGAGGAGCTCCGAAAAGGTAGCACAGAATGTATGGGGTAGACATGCACAGTGTGATGGTAGGTGTCCAGGGGTAGACATCAACAGTGTGATGGTAGGTGTCCAGGGGTAGCCATGCACAGTGTGATGGTAGGTGTCCAGGGCTGATGACAGTGTGATGGTAGGTGTCCAGGGGTAGCCATACACAGCGTGATGGTAGGTGTCCAGGGGTAGACATGCCCAGTGTGATGGTAGGTGACCAGGGGTAGAATTGCACAGTATGATGGTAGGTGTCCAGGGGTAGACATGCAAAGTGTGATGGTAGGTGTCCAGGGGTAGACATGCGCAGTGTGATGGTAGGTGTCCAGGGGTAGACATGCGCAGTGTGATGGTAGGTGGCCAGGGGTAGACATCCACAGTGCGCTGGTAGCTGTCCAGGGGTAGACATGCACAGTGTGATTGTAGGTGTCCAGGGGTAGACATGCACAGTGTGCTGGTAGGTGTCCAGGGGCAGACATGCACAGTGTGATGGTAGGTGTCCAGCGGTAGACATGCACAGTGTGATGGTAGGTGACCAGGGGTAGACATCCACAGTATGATGGTAGGTGTCCAGGGGTAGACATGCCCAGTGTGATGGTAGGTGACCAGGGGTAGACATCCACAGTATGATGGTAGGTGTCCAGGGGTAGACATCCACAGTGTTATGGTAGGTGTCCAGGGGTAGACATGCACTGTGTGATGGTAGGTGTCCAGGGGTAGACATGCCCAGTGTGATGGTAGGTGACCAGGGGTAGACATCCACAGTGTGATGGTAGGTGACCAGGGGTAGAATTGCACAGTATGATGGTAGGTGTCCAGGGGTAGACATGCCCAGTGTGATGGTAGGTGACCAGGGGTAGACATCCACAGTATGATGGTAGGTGTCCAGGGGTAGACATCCACAGTGGGATGGTAGGTGTCCAGGGGTAGACATCCACAGTGTTATGGTAGGTGTCCAGGGGTAGACATGCACTGTGTGATGGTAGGTGTCCAGGGGTAGACATCCACAGTGTTATGGTAGGTGTCCAGGGGTAGACATGCACAGTATGATGGTAGGTGTCCAGGGGTAGACATCCACAGTGTTATGGTAGGTGTCCAGGGGTAGACATGCACTGTGTGATGGTAGGTGTCCAGGGGTAGACATCCACAGTGTTATGGTAGGTGTCCAGGGGTAGACATGCACTGTGTGATGGTAGGTGTCCAGGGGTAGACATGCCCAGTGTGATGGTAGGTGACCAGGGGTAGACATCCACAGTATGATTGTAGGTGTCCAGGGGTAGACATGCACAGTGCGATGGTAGGTGTCCAGGGGTAGACATGCACTGTGTGATGGTAGGTGTCCAGGGGTAGACATCCACAGTGTGATGGTAGGAGTCCTGGGGTAGACATGCACAGTGTGATGGTAGGAGTCCAGGGGTAGACATGCACAGTGGGATGGTAGGTGTCCAGGGGTAGACATGCACTGTGTGATGGTAGGTGTCCAGGGGTAGACATCCACAGTGGGATGGTAGGTGTCCAGGGGTAGACATCCACAGTGTGATGGTAGGTGACCAGGGGTAGACATCCACAGTATGATTGTAGGTGTCCAGGGGTAGACATGCACAGTGGGATGGTAGGTGTCCAGGGGTAGACATCCACAGTGTGATGGTAGGTGTCCAGGGGTAGCCATGCACAGTGTGATGGTAGATGTCCAGGGGTAGACATGCACAGTGTGATTGTAGGTGTCCAGGGGTAGACATGCACAGTGTGATGGTAGGTGTCCAGGGCTGATGAGATTTAATAGGAATATGTAGGTTACTAGGGCATATCCAGTTCGACCATTTCAACCAGCAGAAACTGAAAGAAAAGGGCAGACTCAGATCTAAACAGAGGCTCCTATTTGTGAAAAATTGTTGATGTTTTTAATCAGATCTGCTGTAGAAAGGTACACGGTAGTGTTTTCGTGAACGGCATATATTGAAATTGGGAATTTTTACCCATTCGATTACAATAGGATTTGTCCTCCAACAGACTAGTTCAAATCTTATGTTTACCTAAGGTACTACTCATTTAAATATATGCATCTTAAAGTTATGAAGTGTTTGTTGCCAAAGTTCTCAAATAAACATGCTGTACCGTTCTCATCGTCTTGTTTGTGTTTCCAGAGCAACCAGAGGAGGACAGTGAACCTGACGACCATGCTGAGGAAGAGGAACAGAGGAGGTAAGGGTCGACGGCAAAGATGGGCGGGTCCTTTTTCAATCTTTTTATGTCTTTGTTTTACTTTAAAATATGAATTGACGTGTTCTCAGTGAATGTTTTAACTGGATGTATCAGAAATGTTTGGCTTCAATGAGGGGTGGGGGGATTAAACATGGTGTTTTAATCCTTGTTTATGTAATAACAAGTCCCAAACACACTGAACTTGTGGAATCCAACTCTTCATTGTTCCAACATCATGTCTTATCTGACATTTTGTTCATTTCAGAATATTTTGTTTATATCTCAGATACTACAGGAATTGGGCAACAGACAAAGCCCATGGAAGTGCTCTCCTTAATGTTCTTATAGTATTTTCAATGAAACCTGTGTAATTTGACATCCTGTCTGATGTTACCAATTTCTTGTGTCTCAAAGAGTGTTGCATAAAAGAGGATTCAATCTATACAGAGATAAAATGAGAAAGTGTATCTACGTAATTAAAGTTTATGACATAATATATCGGTATTAAAATCACAAGCTCTTAAATTTCAGAAAGATTCTAATATTGGTAAACACAAACTGTTATGATATCATATTTTCTATGACACTTTCATCCAGAGTTAAGCGCCCTTATTTCTTGTGAGTAACCGCTATATTGTTCATGTCACTCACTGTCGACCATCGACGGTGTCTGCAAGCTTCGTATACCCGTTACCCCACACGTAACATTTCCACCAATCAGACGTCACCCTCCATAAGTGTTGTAATTTTAAGCTATAACCTTTCCTGTACTATTTTACACAGACTGCACGATACACACTGAAGACAGAACCGTGCATGCTTTCCATTACAGTTCCATGGTCAAAATGTCTTAAGATGAATTCAAAAACTTGTGAAATTTTTAATGCAAAATTTCCAGTTCTTGAAAATTGTAAGCTTAGCTGAATATTCACTTTGTTTCTTTCTGTTTGACGTGGGAAAAACAAAAATTCCAAAATTTATTTGGCATGATAATACACGGAATTGAGGTATTGATCAAGTATGCATTTGTTACACAGAATGGCCAACTTTTCAGAAATTATCGTTAATAAATTCTGTGTTAACTATTTTTTTTTATATGTATAAATCTAATTTTACACTCCAAAAATTAAAAGCAAAACTATTAAGTGCAAATTAAAATCTGATTGCGATGATCAATTGGTATTCAATTTTTTTTTTTTGCAATTTAAAACAAAAAAATCAAAAATGAAATGAATCAAATAAAAAGTGCTATTACCAATTTGGTAATCATTTAAATTGGATATAGGCACCGATATCTAGTTTGCAGATTAATGAATTCCATATTTTGTAAACTGGATTGTCATTGGTGTCTACCCCCACCTCCATCACTACCAGCCACCTTGTATACTAGTATCGTACCACAGACCAAATATTGGTCTCAACACACGTTGTATTGTCATAATGTTGTCACCTTACTACACCTGAAAAATAATTCTGTACCATATTTATTATCCAAATATGCAATAACTGAATAAGCAGTATATATAGCACCAATTCGTATTAATGGGTTAGATGGGATTCACATTCTAAATATAATAAATTTGTCGCTCGTCAGGCGACTGAGTACCAAATCACCTGACGTGTACTGTATTTCTATATATATATATTTTTTTAATCTAGATCATTTTTGGCATTGGTTTGAAAAGCTTGGAAATAGATTTCTTTTTTGATTTTTTTTTTTTAATTTATAATTTTTCATTTTATAGATCTAAAATTTGAATGCATTTGAAAGCTTGCTTGAAAATTGTTCTTTTTAAAGATTTAGTGTGAAGTAGACATCTGTCTGTTTGTTTTGTTGTGCTGTATCAAAGTTTGGTTTGAGCTCGATTCTTTCTGACATTGTTAGTTAGTTCACTATCTAGAACAGATTAGTTCAGGGCTTATGCTTTCAAAATAGATCTTTTAAAAAAAGATTCAATCAGGTAGTTAAAGTTTAAGTAATGCTTTCTGTTGCATAGGTACTCTTTGCAAATTTGTTCATGCATGACATAATTCAAAATAAGAATAACCAGGCTTTTAAAATAAAATCAGGTGTAAAAAAGTTTTCCTATTCACCCCTGAAGACACATTTGAACTCTTCCAATTCAGAGTTTGGAAGAGTTCATTATGAAAGTTTAGGGGTGATTGAGTTTAATTAAAGAAAAATAGAAAAAAAATAATGTTTTTGAGAATAAATGTGACTGTCATGCATTGCACTTGAAAACTGAACTGTTTGTTGATTTGGAATAAAAACAGAAAAAATCTTTAATATTGATATAATATCAAAACTTTAACAGAATTTATTTCATTTTCAAACACTGTGATAAAAGTCAATTTTGAAATACGCTATTCAGCATTTCCATGAAATTTTAAGAAATGCTTGGAAAAAATAGCGCTAACAAATTATTGTGAACTGGTACAGACAATGGGTTGAAAGTAGCACTTGTTTCTAGTAGTCAAGAGTCGACACAAATGACAGAAATCGAAAACATGTCGATCGATATTGGATTTTGAAAAATGTTGACATGCACGCATTTCCTCTCCTGCATTACCTGTTGTCTTGTGGCCTAATTCATTCCCTTGCTTACAGCGACAGTAACAGAGACGAGGGAAGTGATTCCGAGGATGAAATCAGCCGCAGGAAAAAGGGGTTACGCGTGGATATTAAGTCGATCGAAGATGACAAGGGACAGATCAGGTATATATTGTAATTTTATGTAAATTGCAATATATACTCAATATTTAGACTAATAATCACTAATTAGACAGTGTTTTTGCCCCACAAATTTATTTGTTGATATACGAGTACTGGTAAAATATTTAACGAAATCTGCTTTTTTTGAAGATGGATTTTTTTTTAATGCAACTTGGCTTCCTCGTCGGCAATACATCCAAAAAATATAAAATAGGAAAGCACAATTTTGAATCGAATCCAAGTTATCATACTCTCTACAGAAGTCAAGAAAGCGTAATTTAGGTAAAATCATCTGTACCAGATATTCATCATCTGTTTAAATTGGTCAACAAAAGAAAAAAAATCATTAAAAATACACATTATATTAAGATTCAATAAAATACCGAAAAACCCTGAAAGTAATGACAAAATAAATTTGAAATGTTCTTTTAATAACAAAGCTTATTTTTTTGCATGTTCTGGTAAACATGTATACCCTATTTTCTATTTAACTTCAGTCATGTCTCAAAACCTCATATGTTTTCTGTACCGACACCTCTGTCACCCTATCTTTTAACCGAACACAACACTAACTGGCATGGGTTACTGAGTAATCTGACATAGCGAGACAAACTATTTGTATTATATAGTTTATTTGGCTGTCTAGCTAGACCCTAATTCACTAACATTCTTGTTTATCAAAAGTTGAATGTGACATTGGAAGCAATACATGTGACCTATCTTCTGAAAATAGATTACAAATTTATAAAAATTAAAAAAAATGGCTTTAGGAATGAGACTAGGCATATCAGCTCCTGCAGAAAGAAGAAAATATAGAAAAAAAAAATTTCATTATACTGGCATTTCTGTTTGCAAGTCAAAATTTTGGCATTGTAAAGTGGTTTGGTAATATAAGGAAGGATATGAATAATGTCATTGTTCAGAAAAAACTTTGGTGAGACAGCAAATAAAATGGGGGATGCATGCACACTATATTGTGGTTATAGTATACAGAAAATATCATTATCTTTACATTTTGTGCATGTTCTATTTCAGTTATCAGACTCATTTAACCTCAAAGGGAGGTCATATTTGTTGTATTGCTACTGACAATCATATTATTAACCTGTTGTATACAGTCAAGGTCTCTTCTCCGCTTTTGTTTGTTTACACTGCAACCTCATCAACCCAGATATGTACACTGCTGCCGAACAGAAACAATACAGGTGTTCCTTATGAATGAAACAGGAACAAAAAAAACACTTATCAAATGAATTTATTGAATTATCAGTTACCAAAATCAAATAAATTTAAATGACGTGATAAAAGTCAGAATATGATAAAAATACTTTCTAGGTAATGGTTAACCCAGTCACCCCTAAAGTCACATTTGAACCTTACCAAATCAGAGACTGGGCAAGTGCAGTTTAAATGTGTAGGGGTGAATGAGTTAAAATGCTGTAGTAGTTCTAAAAAGCAATCAAATCAGATTAATAAGTTGCCTTTTAATGGAAATTCATGTGGTAACACAGACATAACAATCTGGAAAGTGAGCTGTGCAGATTATCAGATTCTGGGTTATTGAGGTTCTTGCTTTGATTTCTCAGAAACATGGGCTTGCTGTTTTGTGTGTATCTCGCTGTGTTTGTCAGCTTGCGTGGTTCTAGGCACCAAAGTTTGTTGTCTGTGTCATACCTGTCTATCATTCACTGCACCTCACTGACACTGCCTGCTATAATATATAGTCGGCATTATGGAATGTAAACATAATTTCTTTCACATTTTACATCTGTTATTTGTTCACATGAAATATTATAATCTACATATTCTTGCTTATTTTTATCAAAATAATACAGGTACAGTGTATTTTTCTTTTCTTAAAATGAAATTCTAGAAAATTACCCTAAGATCTTGTAAACTGGGGATATATATTGATCATATTGATACTGGCATTATTGCAAAGTGAAGAATCCTTTATTTTTCCTGTGTGAGAATAAGCATGCATACATACATTGGCAAACCATGAAATAGTTACATCGCCCATACAAAAATTGCCACATGTACACTGAATAGTTTGAACAAGCTTAACTATAAAATTTCCTCTGTATTGAACTGATTTTGACTGAATAACGTTATCTTAAAAAAAAATTGGAAACAAACAATTTAAATCTCAGTTATTATGTTCAATAAAAAAGAAATCTCTAAAATAGGAAATGATAATTAGAAAAAAAATAACAATAAGGTATGGAATAAGTAAAATAACTCAGCTAGTAAGAAAAAAATTCCTAAAAATGGATTTAAAGAATCTGGTTACCATAGGTATAGTATTTAACCTAAACACAGGATTTTGGGAAAGATTAAATAAAATTTAAGGAATCAAAAATACAACTATAAATTAAAATACATCATATTCTGTACTATAGCTGTTATTTTGTAGATCTGACGAGAGATTCCGTTTCTGCTGAGACGTTGAGCATTGTTGTAATTTGTTCTGTTTTTGTTACACAGCCCAAGGAGTACCCAAAGCGACAAAGTGTTTCATGGCTCCGTATCATCCGGCCCTGTGGTTAATCACTCAGGGTAAGTGTGTCACACAGTTTAGAGGTCAGGGCAAAGGTCAAATCACTGTAAAGATACTCTGGATACTACAAGATCTGTTCTGTTTCTTTTGAAAATATTCGGCTTCCTTGAGTTGTGAAAAAAATAAAGAATGTTTGTTATTAACTTTTGTCTTTTAATCTTATCCACCTTTCGGTCCCGTTCAGTATAAATAGAAGGGACTATCGATTTGAACACTGTCTAGCAATCGGTCAGCCTGATGGGGCCATATCCTGACATTCCCAGTCACCTAAAATTGCCTAATTTTGTACACATGTACATATTTGGGTGACAGGAGTGTTGCATACAAGGGTTTGTACCCCAGTGTGTAGAGAGTTATGGCCTTTTGCTCACCTTGGCTAATGTACACAATGATGACATTCAAGCAATTCTGACAATAAGATAATGCGAATTATTAAATTTTAAAAAGTAGGTGAGTTAAATTCATAAGAAATCACAAGTGTAATGTGTAATCATATTACCTAAATCCATTTGTAATTTGAGCTCGGTATTTACAATTTTTTCAGATGAAATCAGATTGACAGCATTTCATGAATTTATTTAAGAATTTTTGTTGTAAGATCAATATTCTTGTTTTCATGTCTTATATAATTGTAAGAAATTGTTTGTATGTTTTAGGGTCGAAGGTCAAGCCCGGTTGACCAATCTCAACAATGAGGTGTTCATCCTGACTCCGCCTCCCAGCAGTATCACTAAACAGGTACGGTTAAATGGACATCATTGAGTATAAAACGTTTCTTTTGTGATACAGAATTTGTCAAATCTTTATTTTCAACACCCTTGAACCTTGTTAACCCAGCCACCTACATTCCCTGCTAAAATTGTTAGATTAAGTGGTACACTTTTGAATAGAAAGCTTGAAAACATTTGATAGATAGCCGGCTAACAAAATTAGTGGGGGCTTGATTGATGAGATTTAACCCAATATCCTGAGTGGTCATAAAGTTTAAAAGTGCAATCTTATTGTTTAATGAAATTTATCTTTATTTCAAATACAATAAAAAATGACAAATGTTATATTAAATGTATTACTATGTAGAAAGGTTGAAGAAATTCAGTAGAAAACCATTAAAATGATATTGACATAAGAGCAGGCTAAGTGGACTATAATGGTTGCTTATTGAAGATTTAAAAAACAAATGATTTTGGTTTCAACTTATTTCAAATTATGCAATTTTCAGGATATTTGTTTTGCACATATAACAAACATTTGCGTTCTGAGCCTTCCTGAATATGACTGAAGTGAATATTTTTGTCTTGTTCAAATCACTATACTTCAATCAGATATAGCTACACAGGCAAAGTGAGCTAAAGATTAGGATTTAAGGGTGTATGTCACCTCACTTTGAAATGTGTTTCCATAACTTAAGAGCTGGACAAGAAGAAATCTGTAAAAGAATATTTCATAAATAGTAAATGAAACTTTTTTTCTCTCAAACAATTGACAAAATGATTATAAAAAACATGCACATATATTGACAATTTAAAAAAATAGATAATGCTTATAAAAAATAAATTGAAATAACTCTTAACACAATTTACAGAAATGATGCACATGGAAGCATATATCCTTAACACAAAAAATGGTGTGCCTTGTTTGAAACAGTGTTTGCATTCTTGAGTATGTAAGGTGTTAAGGTATTGCTCAAGAATTTTAATTATCGGTAATGTTTATACAACAAGGAAAAAAAGACAGAAAATTATTCACTTCATCAGTATTTTGGAGGTTCATTGTTTTGAAACAAATAATGGTACATTTGAACTTTGTTCATTCTGATACTTCTTTCGTTAAAAACAAATCCAGACTTGCACTTTTCCTGGATTGTTGAAGTGGAATTAATGTGTAAAAATCAATTTTTAAGCTTTTGTTTTTTGGAAGTTTCCCAATTAAAGTACCAGGAGTTGGATGAACAATGTTTCATTGTACATCCAGTTTGGCTTATTTGACCAACAGCGTTCTTAATTCATACTAAACCTCTGTGAAAGGTTTATAGCAAGTTCGTGTTTCAAGGCTGGAGTTGATTTATTTATACGGTCATGTATCATACAACACACATTTTTGTACTTTTAGTTATTTTGTAGTTAGCAAAAAATTATTACTTCTGTTATTATACAGATAATATTTGAACAAAAGTATTTTTCTCAAAATTTCAGATTTTCAACCTTCCGGTACCGACAGTATTTGAAAATAATTAAAATTATTTTTCATCTTTGATTCTTTTTACATTTGATTAACAAACAAATGTAATACAGATATTCTTGCACTTTTTTTTCAGTTTTGGGGAAAAGTAATATTTTATTAGTATATTTTTTTATCAGAAATTAACATGACAGTAGTAACCTGTATGTATATATCTATAACTATAAAATCACAGGTAGTTTTAATTAATCTTTTCAGGTGACAGTCACTCGTAGTGGTATATCTAGCACTTTGACCGTTGTCCAGTTTTCATGATGTCCTGTTGTGTTATGAAGTTGTGTGTCCAAGTGTTGTCCTTTCAGCCATCTTTAAACATTGTTGTCATTTTTTTCATCTTCCATTTTTCATATCGTTCATCATTTTGCACCGACATTTAAATTTACAATTTAATTATGTTCTGGCAGTTTCTTATATTATGGTTAAAAGAAATGTCCAGGTTAAATTTTGAGACAGTGATGAAAAAATCCATCGCGTACACATTTCCATTTCTGTACACTATAGTAAACTTTGAAAGATAATATGTGTACTATAATATATATCGTATAATGGCAGCCCTATGTTCCGCAGCTGTCTCTTCTTGTCTTACAAAGCTTTAATCTTCTACCTAGCCCAACTGTGAAATATTGAAACTTTAAACTGATTGAAATCAACCAATATTTATGTATTCTAATGCTTATAAAAATAACAAAATTACTTACATTTACGGCAAACCGCAAAGTCATTCAGAAAAATGAAAATGCAGAAATAAGTTTTTCACAGTTATGTAAAATGTTATATTTTTTATTTTGTTTGTTTGGTATTTTCAAAATAACAAAGGATACACAATTCTTATGGAAGTTTTAAGCTTCTATTGAACAAGGTGTTATATTTTGAATTAGGATTTTTTGCAAGCAAATTACATTATGTTTGAATAAATCTAGGTTTTTTTCCTTTACAATCTATTTTTTTTACTTGCTTTGTCTAGTGCAGCTGTTTCCCAGTTAATGTCCATAGCTTTGGTGACATGATGTTTCTGTTCTCTGTCAAGGTCGCTGTCTATAAATAGAATTTAAATTAAGACTTATCCTGTAGACGATCGCTGCTTCTATTCTTTGTGGTGGCAATGGTTGTGATGTGTGATTGGTGAATTTTACACTTTGGACAGTCAACAAAACATTTACTTAAGGGGTAAAAGGAAATGTATTCAAAATATTTGAGTTCTTTTAAGGTTTTTTTTATGGCAGTGAGTAGAAAAAGGCAAATTTCATAGGTTAGACCTTTTAGAAAAAGAAAAAAAAATCATATATTCAGAAGTCGATATGTGATAATTGAAAATTATGAATTAGTTATGAATATCATGCTTATTTGTGAAAATCAAGACAATTAAAATAAAAAGTATCACAAACAAAAAATTCGACAATTAACATATTTAAGTCTGAACGACATTCAATGAAAGAGATATAGAAACAATGATTGTAAATGTTATGTTGTCTATAAGACCAGTTTATTGGTGTTCTGTACTTTTAGCTGACTGTAGATTATTTCTTTGCTTTTTGTAACGAACAGCCGACCGTGAGCACCACAAGCACAGGCAGCACAGCAGACGGTGACACTACAGACTCCCCTCCCCCGGGGGTCCGTTTCCCCAAGGCTAGGGTAGTATCTACTGATTCTGAGTCTGAAAAACCCACCTTGAGAATGCCTTCTACATCCTCAAGCTTCAGACAGCCTCGGGTGTCGTCCACCTCCTCCTCTGGGTCTGTTTCCCCAACAAGCCCACAACCTTCAACCACTCAGTCTGCTGTGCCCCTTCGACCCCCGCCCCCAAGCCGAGGAAGCAACATCCCACGTTTGTCTAGCCCATCTGAGGTGCCATCTCATGTTAGCAATGAGGAAGGGGAGATAATTATTGATTTCCCCACCTTGGAGAAGAAAAAGGATAGCAAAATACCCAAGCCTGCCCCTAGGTCTAGTATTGCATCGCCAATTACTAACGAGTCTCCAACATCACCTGTAAGCAAAATTCCTGCTCCCTCAATGATTCCCTCGGCAAGGACTTCAACCAATCCTTTTGCAGCCCTTCCTCCTCCCGTCAAGCAGATCCCAAGATCCAGCAATCCCTTTGCAGCCCCCGCCCCTCCCAGTCAGATCCCCACGAAGCCCCGGATGATAACACCCCCAAAATCTACAAACCCATTCGCCGCACCACCCCCTCCTCTTCCTAACAAATCCAACAATCCTTTCTTGGATGATGAGGAAGAGATTGAAGATGTAGACAAGACCTCCCCAACGTCCGTTAAACCAGCCTCATCATCTTTACCTAAACCCCGTGAGTCACGTATTCCTAAACTGCCCACCAGCCCTACCACAAAAAACGACGACTTTCTTAGGAACAGTTTTAAGCAAGAAAATACTGGGTCAATTAAGAGCCCTACAACTCAAGATGTGCCACCACCCAGACCCCCAAAAGCCCCGCGAACCTCGGCCAACCTCAGCTCTATCCCTGTACCCAAGTCTGCCTCCCTGGCCTCTCCCACCGGTGGTCAAGCCTCGTCTACTTCCTCCCTCTCCACAACCACCAGCACCGTCGGGAAGAAGGAGCAGAGTGGGATTCCTGCCCCTGTGGTCATTGTAAGTTTTCTCTTAGCAGCTATTCAGGTCCCTTGTGAACAGAGATTTAGTGTTAGGTAGCTGTCTATGTCTGGTCACCTTGAAGCGAGCACTCAACTGTTTTTAAAATTCATAACCTCAATTAACAGTACTGAAAACCAAGGGCTAGAAACACATTGAGACCTCTTTTGAAAGATAAGATCTCTTCAATATGCTTCCAGCTTTATGAATACGATGTTAACTTGTTTGTAGATATCACCTGTCAGTAGAGACCACCTCTCTTGAGAGACCACATTGAGAGATGTCCTGCTTTGAAAGCATGTGGGGTTGTCTTTATCAGAGATTTCCTGTCATGAGGGGCTGTCTTTATCAGAGATTTCCTGTCATGTGGGGCTGTCTTTATCAGAGATTTCCTGTCATGAAGGGCTGTCTTTATCAGAGATTTCCTGTCATGGGGGACTGTCTTAATAAGAGATTTCCTGTTATGGGAAACCTTTTCTCTTAAGAGATTGTCTATCTTAACAGAGCAACCAATTTTCAGTGCCAGGAGGGATGGTCTCTCGTGATTGGTTTTAAGGTGAAAGAGTAATTGTAGTGGAATTATAGCAGTGGTTGAACCAGATTGGGTTTCTTTTATACTGTTTGATAATTTTTACTAGACATTTTAATAAGGTTCAATTCAAAGAGTTTGATTGCAAATTAGCAATCTTCAAATTTCCTATGGCACATGAAAATGAAAATCTGACAGAGTCAGTTGAGTGTTTTGAAAGTTGAGTGTCAAGCATTTCAAGTCAGACAGAGATGCAGTGTAGATATTTCTTTATTTTCATTTTAGTGATCTTTAATTTTTGCGTTTTGGTTGTGGTGCTTTTTTAGCTACTTTCAATGTCAAGCTTTTCCCCCTATTTCCCATTCATAGATAGAAGTAACATCCTATAGTCGGCAGTGTTTATTTCACAAGGTAGTGGGTGGACTTCCAAAAACATTGAGTCTATTTATTATCTATTCTGACAATAACATAACAGAGATTCAAAGACATTTTCATAAAAATCAGCAAATCTGACTGTATTTTGACCCTTAAAATCATGATATATTTCATATTATATACTTTTCCTGGAAATTTGTCCGCTAAAAAATCTCTGTGAAAATGACCTGCATGTAGAGTATTTTGGATTATCACGTTATCATTGGCTTACTAACCGGTCTGCTTGGTATTTAGCTACTACTTTTCACGGAGATGGTTTCATTTTGTTTTTTTTGCACACATTTCTAACATTATTTAGGGTTTTAGACCTCATCGTCTGATTTTCATCCTACCAGACCAGACTTACGGGGTTCTGCTTACACCCAATTTATTGAATTGCCCTAAAGTTTGTATGCTCCAGCATAGAATACTGTTGCCCAGGCCCATCCATTTATACATTTTTCTGCCAAGCAGTAACACCATCACTCTACAAGTGCGTTCATTTGTAGTCACAATTTCATGAAACCAAATATTGAGTCAACGTCACCATTTTCTATGAATACAAATTTTTTGTTACATTGATGTCATTTCTTTAGCACTTTCTGTTTCGTTAGATTTCTATGAAACTTCGTACAGAGGTAATGCAAATACCATGGTACCACAAATAATTTTATGTTTCAGCATTTTACATCAAAGGTTGTGATAACCTTACCTATATGTAGAAAAGTCTCTCTATTGTTCTCGCCCAATCAATGGCTGTGTCCATGAATCTTAATTGACATGGGGGTAGACATCCACCAGATGTTGGGTGGAGTTTGTATCTCGTGACTAAACATAGGCCATACATCGTAGTCCCTTTCTGATTTGGTGGAATTTTTCAATCTTTTCCAGTCAAACTGAAATACTCTCTTTCATGGGAAAACCTGTTTTCTAAATCAAATGGTTATAAAATGTCACGGCTTTAAAACTTTCCCTATTGCAAAACCTGGTTATAAATTGTCTCGGCCTTAAACTTTCCCTATTGCAAAACCTGGTTATAAATTGTCTCGGGCCTTAAACTTTCCCTATTGCAAAACCTGTTATATCAATTATACAATTTTGCTAATTTCATATATCAATGACGTTTGCTTATTATTTGGTCTTAAACAGTGACTCCAAGTTACATAATGAATCTCGGATGATATCTAACAAAGTTTTTATATACATTTGTGTATCTGGTAGAAGAGAAATTCCAACACAAGTTATTACAAATTTGAGCAATTTCCGAGGCTCTATTTAATTTGTTACCTCTGATGTTCAAATTTTTGTATCCCCTATTTTCAGTGAATCATGTTTAAAATAAACCCCGAGGGAACGTAAGGAATTAGTTTGTAATAGACATGTTGAATTACAGTCTGATGTTCGGGAAGGAATTAGTTTGTAATAGACATGATGAATTACAGTCTGATGTTCGGGAAGGAATTAGTTTGTAATAGACATGATGAATTACAATCTGATGTTCGGGAAGGAATTAGTTTGTAATAGACATGATGAATTACAGTCTGATGTTCGGGAAGGAATTAGTTTGTAATAGACATGATGAATTACAGTCTGATGTTCGGGAAGGAATTAGTTTGTAATAGACATGATGAATTACAGTCTGATGTTCGGGAAGGAATTAGTTTGTAATAGACATGATGAATTACAGTCTGATGTTCGGGAAGGAATTAGTTTGTAATAGACATGATGAATTACAGTCTGATGTTCGGGAAGGAATTAGTTTGTAATAGACATGATGAATTACAGTCTGATGTTCGGGAAGGAATTAGTTTGTAATAGACATGATGAATTACAGTCTGATGTTCGGGAAGGAATTAGTTTGTAATAGACATGATGAATTACAGTCTGATGTTCGGGAAGGAATTAGTTTGTAATAGACATGATGAATTACAGTCTGATGTTCGGGAAGGAATTAGTTTGTAATAGACATGATGAATTACAGTCTGATGTTCGGGAAGGAATTAGTTTGTAATAGACATGATGAATTACAGTCTGATGTTCGGGAAGGAATTAGTTTGTAATAGACATGATGAATTACAGTCTGATGTTCGGTAAGGAATTTGTTTGTAATAGACATGATGGATTACAGTCTGATGTTCGGGAAGGAATTAGTTTGTAATAGACATGTTGAATTACAGTCTGATGTTCGGGACAAGGTTTCTTTCTAGTAGACACATGGATTAACAAATCAGGAATCAGAAATAGGAAAATGGCATTTTGATAAAATATCAAAGGTCATTCGCATAATTATCCTGGCTTCTTGGCCTATTTTTATTGCAAAAGGACAGGTTTGAAAAAATGATATATTTTTTTTACAAAGGCTTACATAAGATTCATTATTGATTAATTTATTGGTGATGTGGGGGAATAATAAAAAAATCCAGTAATATTTATTAACCAGTAATATTAACCATTTCACTGATGACCATGAAAGAATTATTTTTCTCATTCTATTCATTATTATTAGCTCACTAGGTGGTGGGGATTCAAAATTGTACAAATGGTGGGGCTGAACCCCCAGGGGACTGAGGGCAGGCCAAAAGGGGGTAATTTGGCTATATTGCTATAAACGAATTCTTCTGTAGAACTATGCCATGGATATCAATTGCAATCATATTTGGTCGGAAGCATTCATGGGAGGCAGGGATTCAAAATTGTACAAATGGTGGGGCTGCCCCACCCTTGGAGACTTAACCCCTGGGTCATAACTTCGAAATGGTTAAGATCCCCACCCCATAACTATATATACAATTGTTGGGCATAAAGAGACGAATGAAGTCACAATATTAGAATTGACCCAGGGTCTGCCCCACCCTTGCAGACTTAACCCCTGGGTCATAACTTTGAAACAGTTGAGATCCCCACCCCAAAACTAAATATACAAATGCTGGGCAAAAAGAGACAAATGCAGTCATGAAATTAGAATTGATCCTGGGGTCTGGCCACAACTCTAGGGACCTAGATTCTGAGTCACAGCTTGGAAACAGTTGAGATCCCCACCCCATAACCATACATAAAATTGTTTGGCATGAAAAATCTAATACAGATATGCTACAAGGATTGGCCTTGGGGTCTGGCATATTCCCATGGATCTCATTTGGAGAATATTCTGCCATGATTGCTTAGATATCCAGGTGAGCGATACAGGCCCTATGGGCCTCTTGTTAACATTTTGGAAGGATTTTGATACTAAGTAAAAAAACTGGAAAGTTAGTGAAGAAATTGGGGGGAAAATATTGAAGTAAATAAATATTCCCCAGTAGTGTTATATTGGAAAGAAGTAGGCAGACTCCACTGTAGTGCCACCAATTACAAGAGTGTGGCATAGTGGCCACTGACAGAATGGTGGCATAGTGGCCACTGACAGAATGGTGGCATTAAGGCCACTGACAGAATGGTGGCATAGTGGCCACTGATGGAATGGTGACATTGTGTGGCAGCATCATACATTACTGTAAAGCTAAAATTTCATAACATTATGTTAACCAACTCAAAATCCATTTTTAGGTTGAACATTCTTAAGTACAAGTTTCACATCCAGTAATTATTTGTCAATCATCCTCATGGTGTAAGCTCAGTACCTCCAAAGCTTGACATTAGATATTTTTGAAACCAACAGAAATATGTTTTGGGACCTGAATAGGGGAAACATGAGAAAATTTGCTGATTAAGATATAAAATTATTGCATTTATTTGTATAACTATTATATACTGGTGTATGGCATTAGAAAATAGTTTCATATTATTCAGAGAAATATATATTTATATATATATATCATTACTCCATTTGCATCATCAATATTTGTGCTGCGCATATATTTATTTTTAATTCATACTGTCTTGTACTTTTTTCTAAAATATCTGTTAGCATGGATATACATAGATTGCATGGTTTTTAATAGTACAAACCCACAATTTTTTTTTTCATTATTCTCAGAAAAACTGTTCTGAAATGATTTAATTCTGTTGAATATTAATCAGTCTTGGATTATTTATTTGTGCAAGATACACATATTGTTTCGGCAGACAAAAGTTCCTTTTTATTAGAAATTTACAATACTGATAAACATTTATGATTAAGTTCAAGTTAAAAAGCTATTTCCAAATATTTTTTTTTATTTAACCTGAATGTAGCTGAGCGAAAATGCATGTTTTTCAATTCCATGTAATTTGTTTTTGCATGTACATGTATCTCTATGTAGTATTTTGATTGGTGTCCATATCTATCTGTGATTATGTTTGAAGATACTATTGTTTATGAAATTTCAATAGCATCTTTTTGTATCACAAAAAATATTTTATTTACTTGATTGCTAGGGGTTCATGTATGTTGCTTAAATAATCTAAAATAATCTTTAATTTGCATATCGGATATTGTAATATATTTTGATTGGTTCATAATTGTACACATATTTTTCTAGCAATCATATTATGTTACATAAATGCATGATAAATGCATGACTGACATGCATATTAGTGTGTTATTGGTGAATTTTATGTTATCTATCTTATTTGCATATTTGTATTATTCATATTTTAGCATTTTTGATTGGTTTAAAGCTGTTTAATTTTGACTTATTTGCATATGTGATATGGTGTTTTTTGATTGGGTGGTTTATTCTCCTCTTTCCATAGACGTCTAGACGCAGACCTTGCCCTAACATGAGCGATAATGTGTAGTGGTTACGGTAATGCATTGAACGGCCCGCCAGTGGTCGACTTTTTTGGCTGTGTGCACTTTTCTGTACCTACTGTTGCCTAGCAACAGAAGCACGCACATTTGTCTCGGATACAAGATTTACATGATAGAATTCCTAATTCACAACTTTTACAATTGAGTCAGTTACACTTCAAGTTAGCAAACATATTTGTCATTGCACTCTTCCTAAAATCGCTCATTTTGCAACATTTTTGTTTGACATCATCATATTTAATGCTATTGAGGCTGATTATAAAGCTAACATTTGCCCTAACCATTGCGGCTAATATAAATTGGCAGAAAAAATGCCTTGATTAATGTAATATTGATATTTATCAATCTGCTCATGAATGTAAATTTTACAGCTATTCAGGCTTCAGAAAACAAACGTCCTATCACTTAATAAGGTCATACAAGACCACAATGTAGAACATGAGAAATCAACGGTAAAGTGTGCAAAAAAACCACCGGAGTAAAGAAAAATGTAGAAAATTTGGTAGAAAGGTACAAGAATTATCACAATTCTTGCTGGAGACCAGAGGTGTTCTTGCTGGATCTGATAAGCCAACACAGAGAGTGTTAAAACCAAGCGCACAAATACAGTTTCAAAGAAAAAATCGAAAACTGAACGTCACAACTTAACAAAACAAAAAAAAGTTGTGAGGATGTTAATTTTGAAAGATGGAAGGTCTATATCAAACCAATGATATTGATTCTCTTTGATTGATTTAAGTTTAAATGATCCAAATATTCCCATGGACGACTGTTTTTTTAATTCAGCCACAATTGATACTCTTGGTATATTGTAATTAATTATTTGCTCTTTCTGTCACAAAGTATTGTATCTGAGACTGCTACAGGCGTTGCTTGCTTGCTATAGAGGCTTTCTTGTAGTGTTACTCTGTTTCATCAATAACTGTAGTGATGTCTAGATGCATTTTGACTTTGGTGACAGTTTGAATGAGAATAATTCACTAATTATATGTTGTAATTTCCAATTCTAGATGTAAATTTTGTACACTTTTATAATTGAAGGGATTGCTGAACTAATGTAGACCTAAGTGTGGCCTATGCACCTACTAAACTAGTCCTCCATTTTATTGGGTTAAATAGATCAGATTTGGGTAACAATGCCACCTATCATACATCTGTCTAGCATAGCACTGGCACGGTGAAATACATTTCAGCAACAATAATAGAACTCACGAGTCAAAGAAACAGTTCTCTAATTCATCATTTGCTAAGTTTGTTTAAGAATCAATATGCCAATTCATAAATCATTATGTTAAATTTATTATTAATATGCCTATTAATCTCATTGTAGAGTCATTATGTTAACTCTGTAGTCAAGTGTACATGTTAATTACATAAATATATTTGCTTATTTTTGTGGCAATAAGTTCATTCAGGAATCAACATGCTAAGTTAGGAGTTAGTATCTTCTTTTTGTGTCAATATGTTAATTCATGAGTTCATATGCAAATTCAGATATGAATAAGGTCATTTATGTGTTAATATGCTAATTCAGGGGTTCATATGCAAATTCAGGAGTAAATAAGGTGATTTATGTTCAGAAGTAAATAAGGTCATTATGTGTCAATATTCTAATTCAGGAGTTCATATGCAAATTTAATTATTCATGATTAATTATTTCAGGTATCATACTGTAAACTAATCACTGAATATTGCTAACATAGAAATCAAAATATTTATTCTGCTTATTCCGGTCAAAAGATTCAGATTTACTACTTTTGATAAACAAGCATATCTACATGTTGTGCTAGCTGAACAGACATCCATCAAAAGTATGTCAGATTAATGTTAAGTCTTTCTCTAGTTCATCAACAAAGTTTTGCTTAACAAGCTTACATTTCAAATTATGGATTTCAACATTTGAGATTATTTCACCTGTCTGTCCTCTGATAATTCTGTGTGCTAATTTTAATAGTTTTATAGGCAAAACTTTTCCCGGAATATGGACGTGACTAGCTATAGAATCTCAATAAAATAAACCTTCTGATATACCAGGCCTGTAATAGCATTTCCCAGCTTATCATAGGCTTTCCACTTGACACTTAGAACTTGACAACAAGCCCAACAGCCCCAAATTTTAAACCAACTTTTGCATTATTTCTTATATAATATATAATATACCCGTTATAATATCTACATTATTTGCTGTTAGTAATTTATATATTATCAATAAACATTATTTGTTTATTATGTATTATATATTTTAGTTTAGGTCCAGTTATATCGCGTTTATATTGTAGTTTAAATTTGCTGGACAAAAATGTGTAGCATGACGTACAACATACAACAATTATTTACCCACGTTGTAATTGACACTGATCCTACCTCGCGATGTATATATGTACACTGTATTGTCCAATGATAGGATACTATACATAATATACTGGTATATTATCTGTTTAACAACACAGTAACAGGGAGAAATTGTTATTTGTGTGGTGCTGGCTCACAGGAGGGAAGGAGGAATCATTATTTTGTTTTTGTATATATACATGTAATAATTCATTGTCACGTGGTGTTTGATTTGGAGTTGTTTTAATACACTTGAAATGCTGTGATTAAGAAAAATGATTATCTTTGATACTTAAGAGTATACTGGTATGTCTCCAGTGGTATAATTGCATGGCATGGTCTATATTTAGAAAACTCTTTTACAACTTAAATGATTTGATTTGAAGGGCTGAACGAAATTCTTAGAATTGAATTCATTTAACTCTTGCATGAACTAATACCTTAACACTGAAAAGATGATTTTCTAACTTTTCTGATCAAATCTAATATTTTTTGGCTTTTTATATGAAATAAAACAACATAAATAACATACGTTATATATATTACCATATTTGGTTTATAAAAAAATTAAAAGAACTAGTTCTGCATGAAAATAAAAATAAAATGTTAATTATTGGAAAGTTGCAAAATTTATCATTCGATATAAGAGACATTATTTCAGCATAAACATTTTTTTTAAATTATTTTTCAGGAGACATCATTTTCCGGAAACAAGATGGTGACACGTACAACATCCTCAACAAGTACAAAGAGTCTCCCAGGCGGTCAGCCCCACGTCAGTCACACAATCACAGTGTCCCGCAATAAGTCGGAATCCAGCAGCCGCAATACTGCTGTCAACGGCGAGGGGTTATCACCGTGGCATGTACAGTCCCCGGAGCAACCAGTCGTGCAGCGAAAAGTCACCCTGACAACGGAATTATGAAGATGTTCGTTATCCATCAATGTTTTGTTCATGAAGATACATTATGATTTGAATGGTCAGTTTTTTTCGCCTTTCTTATTTCATCCATAGGTACAAAATGAGCTGAAGTGTTTCTGTATTTGAGCTGTTGGAAAAATTGGTTGATGATATGAAAGAAGGAAGGAGAATTTTCAACTTTGGGAACTTAACAGATTTATAATTGAAGATCAAATAACTTGCAAATACAGATGTGTCTTTTTATTAAATCGTCAAGCTTGCGAAATATGAAACAATGATGAAGTCTTGAGCACGAGGATCTGACACAAACAAATACAATTAATCATGGATCTTTTTAAAGTGTTTCTTTGTTGGAAGAACAAGATTTTCGTCAGAATTTTAGCTGTGTTGTGGTTTAAAAGTTGTCTAGGAAAAAAACAGTTGTTGCAAATCTAACATAGATTGGACTAATTTTACAATTGTTTTGACGTCTTCCTCCAAAATCGGTGACATTGGAAGAATCTACTGTTGAAATTATTGCAATGGATATTGTGTAAAAGGGTTGCCTTTTTGTTAAACTTCTTGCGAAAACGATTTTAAACAAGGATGGCTTGAATCTTGTAATTTTGGTCTTTATTTTCATCGATGTAGGACAGGACTATGGGCTTTAATGACAAGATTGTCCTACATCAACTTCGAACGTTATGTACAAATTTTTATATCATTTATAAAGTAGATCAATCTTCTATCCTTATTTTATAAATTGATTTCTAAGATATTATTACAGCCAAGTTTTAACACATAGAGGTTGCCGATTAAGCTTGTCATTACGATTTACCTTTTTAGTAAACATTTCATTTTTTAAATAAGGTTGTCCTATGTTTAACTCATTCACCCCTGAAGACACAATTGAACTCTTCCAATTCAAAAGTTGGAATAGTTCATTATGAAATTTCAGGGGTGAATGAGTTAATTATCATATTTCTTTATAAGTTAATGGCAACAAAAAATAAACATATCAATAAATGATGTAACATTGTATAACAATTTAATACAGTGTATTTTTAGAATTTGTATACAAAATATAAAAAAATTGACTATAGATACATATCAAATTTATATTTGGCTTCGGACTGCTTCGTCTGTCTTGTTAAATGTCTTTCTGTACCCTGTCATGATTTTATCTGGTTAACTTTCATAAAGTGATTAATTTTACTGCATGAAAGATGAATTTTATATCATAATAATGAATATTGTATCTTTTGATGATATGACGAACCCCTGCTCTACATGGTACTGTTATTATACACTAGTACATTGTAGTACATTGTATATTATCAAAGCGTAAACTGTGAAAAAAGGTTATTTTCGGCCTAAGTTTCATTTTTACCAAATTGTGTTTGACTTCACATGTTGCCTGGGAGAATCAATTGAAGAAATGTCTGTGAGAGCAAATTTTCCCTAAAAGGTAGTTCTGTGAATGGTTATAAGGCTGTTCCATCATTGATTCACACATATATGTTGATCTAGTCATGACATGACTTGAAACTTTCTTGTTTTGAATATGCAGTATAATAATCAGAGAAGAAATATATTTGGTTGGAGCCGTTCAGCAGTGTCCAATGTCTAGAGCTAAACAAACAATGGGTCGAATAGATAAGCAGAATGTGGACCAGGTAATGGGTGGCTGGGAAGCTTTTATCGTTCACTGATTGGAACTCAAGATTAAATGGTCAGTTTAAATTAAAATAGTAGGAGGAATGAGAAGATTTGTGAGTTACCGGTAATAAATAATTATCATTTCATCCGAAATATTGTGTAGTTTTTACGAATCTAATAGAAATTAAATACTGTTGCCTTCTTTTATGATACTGTATGGAAATAACCTGTGTCATAAAGGAGTGGTAATACAATTGAGGCCCTTATTCATGAAACCCATCCTGTGTTCAACCTCAGATTCTGTGCTCAAGCCCAATTTCTCGTTCATTTGCGAATTCAGAAAAACTCATGTCTTGTCAATGATATTGGAACAATTTAGAAGAGGTTTGAAGCTGATTACCATTTCATTGTTTACACAAGACTTTTGACTGTATCACTTGATGTAACATAATAATAAGTCAGATGGTCGAGCACAAAATTCATACTTGTGCACGAGAAGGGTTTTATGAATGTGGAGCCTGATTTTCGATTGTAATAATAATTGATATTCCAGATGATCATTGATGCTGTAGTACCTTGTTCATGTGTCTGTGGTGTATCATAAAGTTGTTTTGTTATGTGTCTGTATATCTAGCATTCCATTATATACCTAAGGTCTGGGATCTGTTATTCTTCATTTTGAGAGTAAAGTGTGTATAACATATCAAATATTACAACATGTTCATATATAAAATATCATTATTTGCAAGAAATGTTGTAAATTGCAAATATTTGGGACCTACACAAATATATATATGTTTTGGGAAACATGGCGATTTATGCTATGTCTTTGGTAAAAGTTTAATCATTCCACAATTCTGGCTAGTTTTATCACAGAAATTCATTATTTGTCGGGTACAAATGTGTTTAGTGTTGAATAAAATTGCCAATTATCGGGTACAATGTATTTTGGATTTTTTCAAAAGTTTTTAAGCATTCCTATTAGAAGCCTGGTAATTGGTCTGTTATTAACTAAAGCAGGATTTTGCTATTAATTTTATTCCCCATTCCATTGTTTTAAGTATGATGATCACAGTCGTTATCTGGTAGGTTTGGGCATTACAGATTTTAGTCTGAATCTGTTTAAATTTACAATAGGTTGTGAAGTGTTTTCTGGTACGTAGTATGTGAATTTATTCCAATTTTAATCCGTTTTAAAGTTTTGTGTTGTGATTGTAATCAATGATAATGGGTAGGCTTTCCTGTTTACTGTTTATGCATACTAATCTCTATATTACATTATATTATAAAACTTCCAAAGTTTGACTGGGGGGATTTTTTCTAAAACTTTTTCAACTAAGTTTCTATGAAAGATCCTTCATTTCTTAAATGTAAAATAAGTTTTGTCTGCAGAGACAATATCAAGTTTTGGCCTCTGAGTGACACTTGAACTCATTCACCCCTGAAGACACATTTGAACTCTTCCAATTCAAAGGTTGAAATAGTTCATTCTGAAATTTCAGGGGTGAATGAGTTAAACAATAAAATTAATTTGTACATGTATATATCGTGGAGAGTTTCTACATCCACGTTTAGTAGCTTGAACATTATCACGCCACAGTCACTGTATCGCAGTCTAAATATTATCAATGTTGACATTTGTTTTTAGTAAAAGTTCTATTCGTGATTGTCATGTATTTGTCCAATTTAAGTCTTATGTTCATGTTTGAAATATGTTTTTGCCAATGATAGTATTTTCAATCATTTCATTTCTTGCCCTCGTTGCTTTTTTTCACGTAATTTTGTTGTTTGTGAAATTGTTGCTTGCTAAAACAGCTTGGGTGTTTAAAGTCATTTATAGACCAATTTCTGCCTGACTTGCAAATTGTTGTTTGCTCATTCAATATAAAGCTGTCCAGTTTTGTTTTCTTTTTTCGAAGATTACTTCTTTAAAGACTTTTTTTTTTAATTTTATATCGTGTAGTTTTAATATTCACTTTAAAAGTCATATTAGCAAACAACAGTGTTGTTTTACTCAATGTTTTAGTGTGAAGTAAAAAAGCAAATGTTTCAAACACAGTATGCTGTATTCCCATTTAAGATAAAATATGATGTCTATTTAACATGAAATGATATTTTAATAATTTTGATCTAATTTAACTTGTGACTCTTAAAATCAACATTTGGATCATCACCCTAATAAGTATGTTTTGGTGCTAACTTATGGGTAATATATAAAACACAGAAAAGCAAAATATACTTGCATTTCAAGTTTACTTTACGAGTGAAACAGTTGCTGTCAAAATCAGCATTAGGTAGTTTCTGGGGAAGGTCTGATCTGAGATGATTGGCAAGTCTTGAGATACATTGAGAAGTCAGAATACTATCTGAAACAAATTTAGCTACTTTAGTTCTAGCACAGAACAAAACTGGAAAAGGAAACTAGACCCTTACTGCCGTTGATTGTACATATATGGCTGTAATTTCTAGCTGAAATAGTGTTCTTGATGTAAGAAACCAATATCTGCATCGTAATTCTCCTGCTGGAGAAGACAAATGTACGTAAAATAGTCTTAATTGTTGATTAAATAGTCGGGTATTATTGATTAAACCCCACAACTTCTAACTAAACTGTGTCTTAAAATTCATTTTGTTACAATAGTTCTAAAAACAACTAACAATTAACATAATGATGGACAGTTATACTGCCCACTAACAAACAAAGCATACAGCTGTACTAATTCTGCCGGTAGAAATTAGAACATTATTATATATTTAAAGGATAGTTTAATCCAGTTAAAAGAAATTAATATACGTTGTATACATAACAAGACATTAAAAGCACTTAAAAGAACTTTGTTATACATTAAAATTGGGATTTAAGGCCATGAGAAGATATTATACTCTAAATAGGGGATTAAAGTCATTACAGAACTTGAGTCATTAGAAGATTAAGGTTCATAAAGACTAATTAAATTAATTACGCCTTCCTCATGGGATCTATGCATCAATTTCAATATTATCCGTTAGGTTACATGTGCCTTGAGATATCGGGTGGGAAACTCAGTATAGCGTCCAATGTAATATATATATTTGATGATCAGTTGTAAAGTTTGCTCACATTATTAAAACGTGTACATGATAGCGACGTAATCTCTAAGAATAGCATATTTGTATTTTTTTTATGTACAAATTTAAAATCATTTAAAACAACATGTATACATGTATGACACACAGGATTCAGTCTTATCAAGCTTCGTAAATAGTTTACCATCAGCAAAACAGTTTATTTTCAATTTTTATGTCCTGATGTTTATCTTGATATAGAGGAGACATTCAGTTGAGAATTTCAAAATGTATTATTTTGAAACAAAGTGTGGATAATTGAATAAAGGATATAATATTTAGAGAGAAAAAATAAGAAAAAAAATTGAAAAAGAAATTGTTCCCGACATTTTCGTGAACTATTCAACTAGAAAAAAATGTAAATTTCACTTCGTTTTTTATCTTACGCAGCTTGATACTACTGTAACCTGTTCATATATATTGAACACTCGTTAAATATTGATTTGTTATTATAGTCATTATTTGTATTTATATGCTAATATTTGCCAGTCATACATATAAACAAATATAAATCCATAAAACATTTCTTTGGTATCTATCTTTTTATCGGTCAAATAAAACTATATAACTGTTCTATCATCTTAATCCATCTATTGGTAATACTGAGTATGATATCATGTCTGTCGTTTAATGATATATTTTGGTAGCAGTATGATACTCTATTCCTCTGCTATATCTGTATATTGTATAAGATCACCATTTGTGCCATCGTCACACATGCTACAGCTGTCTAACTTTCTACTACACAAATGTGCTTCGTCTTGGAATAAAGATGTTAATAAGTGTACAGATTATCGTCGTGTTTATTTATTTTTTACCACTACAGAGAAACCTCGTTTTACTGCCATCGTTGTTTATACGAATGTGTTGGCATTATAAAGAGGTTAAATGATATTTTGTTCCGGGCACATGTGACAAAATAGATGCTGAAGAAAAAACCAGAAGACGGTTTATTATTTTTTCTACCATTAACCATTGCAATCATTTGGTACTACAAACATTTGTCAACATTTTTGGCATAAAAATGCTTTTGAAATTATGTAACAGTGATGTATAAAGTATTTGAAAAAAAACACGCAGAAATTCGTTTAAAAACGTGGCAAATGAAACTGAGTTTATGTTGAGGTTATACTGTGTTTACATTCTCCAACTG